ATGAAATAGCCATTTGGAAGGCAAGATGAGGTAAAATTTTACGCGACCTGAGGTCCTTAGTCATTTGATGGGGCAGAAAAATTAAACTATCAATCCGTAAATCATTTTAAACAACTTTGACTTGATGAGTTATTATTCAAAAATAGAGAGTCTTGAAAACTACTTATACTGAATATAAGTAATCTCGTCGATTATATTGACAGATACTTGCTTGGTTGATCACAAATCCTACAAGAGAAATAGGAATACTACATGTCCTTTAGTGCTCCACAGCATCCGAGGCTGTGTTATGGACTGATTATGTCTACACGATATTCATGACCCAGGTCCGAATCCCGTTTTTGGTGTGGAAGAGAACCCGGTGTGATAGAAACTGCAGTCCATCATAGACAAAACATTCTTTACTTAGTGATGGTCTTTAAAACTACTCACACCACAAATAAGTACAGACAAATAGGAAACAGACTCTAACCATTGCCTCGAGAGGCTCGGTCTGCAGACGGATTAATCAGGAAACCTGCCCAACCGAGTGCTTCCGAAGCGGCAATTTACGTGGCAGATTCGCTTGGCTCAACATTCATTGGCCAATCTGTCACCCGTGACGACGTGACTAACAAAACACACTTCTGGACTGGCGGGAACAACACGAGGGGTTCGAACCTTTGATCTTGCAGCTCAGAGGCAAATGTATCGCTTCTGCGTGTTTTGCCTTGAAAGTCATGTGCTCGAATGGCCCAACACCACCGGGGCCATGTCGTCAAGAGCCCAACTGGCATGTGACCAGTGCTCGAACCCTCGCGCTAAATACCACCTCCATTGTTGGCCCTCGAACTTACGCGGAAATGCTTTCTTGTCTTTGTTTCTGTTTGGGTTAATCGCTTTTCGCTACACAATTCACATCAACACCAACCCAAAGTTGGCTTCTCGTTGCCAGGTGATGCTTAATTGATGACATGGATACCATGTGTCCTATAAACGGATGCATGGACGGATGAACGAGCAACTCGGAAGACGAGTTTGTTTAAGGCAAAAGTTAACAATTGTCGTGCAGACTTCACGCCTTGACGTTATCTTTATTTACCAACAAAGTCTGGTAAC